ATCACCATCACCATCACCACCATCATCATCATCATCATCATCATCAGCATCATCATCATCATCATCATCATCATCATCATCATCATCATCATCATCATCATCATCATCATCATCATCATCATCATCATCCTCTTCCCATTCCTCCTCCTCCTCGCCTTCCTCCTCCCTTCAGCCAGTCGCGGGGATGGCGCCCCTACTGGCACTGCGGGGGCCGCCCGGAGGGGTATCGTCCAAAAGTTCAGCACGCCCTGAGCCAGCCTCGTCTTGAAGTCAGGTTCAGGTTTCAACGCCGGCCGCCGGCTGCCGTCGCTCTCTCTGCCGGCCTGTCAGCGTGCCAAAGGAGCAGGCGAAGGAGGAGAGGGAGAGGAGAGAGGGAGAAGAGCTGCGCCCGCAAGTAGCGCCTCTCACTTCCTCCCCCTCCTCCTCCTCCTCCTCCTCCTCCTCCTCCTCCTCCTCCTACTTCCTCCCTTGGACTCTCCCACTCCCCGCTCGCCGCCCCTCGCCCTTCAAGGGCTCGTCCATGTTTCTTTCCTGATTGAAGGGGGAGCCCCCTGCTCCTGAGCTCGTGGACCTCGTCCAGCAGCGGCGTCAGCCGCTCGGCCTCCCACTCCTGCTGCAGCGCCAGCAGCTCCTCGCACGGGGGCGGGGAGGCGGGGGAGGGAAGGGAGGAATAGCTGGAACTTGAGCTGTATTGCACCAGAGACCGCCAAGGGCGTGGCCTAGAACGCCAGCGTGAGTGGGACGAAGCCCTCAGCGATCGTAGCCGAAGTCGGCGCGGGGAAGACAAGGGCGGGAGGATGCAATGGGAGTGTGTCCGTAAGGGATGGGGGAAAGAGGGGAAAGGGAAGTGAAAGGGAAGGGAATGGCGGTAAGAAGAAATCGGGAGAGGGAGGGCAGACCCGGGGGAAGGGAAGGCTGCGAGGAACCGGAAAAATGCTGGAGGGGGAAGGCAGGGAAACTGCAACAGCATTGCAAGCAACAAACATGAACACCCCGTGTCCTGGGGGCGCAGACCGCTCTCTCGGAGCCCCTTGTGCGAACATGCCGTGTTCAAACGCATGCAGCTCCAGCGCCAGCGTTGGTCCCCAGCGCCCCTAGGATTTCAAAAGGAAGCCGCCACGGCCTCCAGAATGCCCCTCACGAGTCCCAGGGGGCCCGAGGGGCTCTGGCATGGAGCGAAAAGCTGGGGGCACCTTGGGCCAGGGATACCTTTAGCAACCCCCTCCAGCAGGGGGCCACCCATGACCTCCGCGACCACCGCGGCCACCGCCGCGATGGCCGCGACCGCCGCGGCCACTGCCACGGCGACCACTCCACACGACCCCAACCCTGTTGGCGTCCACCATCTGCCCCAGTCCCCTTCTGCCCAGCAGCCCTTAGCCCTTGCATGCAATTCGCCATCCTCCGCCTTCTCCTCCTTCCGCGCTCGTGCTGGTCGACCAGGTTCGGCCACGAACTATCACTGCTACTTCCGCTGCTGCTGCTGCTGATGCTGCTGCTGATACTGCTGCTGATGCTGCTGCTGCTGCTGCTGCTGCTACGACTGCTACCCCCGCTGCTGCAAGGGCGGGGCGGCGGGGCGGGGGCGGCGCGCCCGATTGAAGAACGCCTCCTCCTCCTCCTCCTTCTCCTCCTCCTCCTCATTCTCCCCTACTCTCCTTCATAATCCTCCTTCTCCCCTCCCTACATCCTACTCCTCCTGCCCCAGCTCTCCCCCCACCGCCCTTCCCTCATCCTCTCCTATCCTCCCTCCTCATCCTCGACTCATCCTCATAATCCTTCCTCCTCCTCCTCCTCCTCCTCCTCCTCATCCGTCCGGGCCACCAGACGGAGATGTTCAAGGCGTGCAGCCGCGGCCGTCGGGGGCCAGCCGCGCCTTCCGCGGCTGGGCCCAGCACGCCGAGTTCGGCGGTGGGCCCCACGATGTGCCTGCCACGGCGCGCGAGGCCAGGCGCCGCGGGCGAGGCCGTCGGCGCGGGGCTGGTGACGCTGAGTCGGCGGAGACTGCGGACACCGCGACCACCGCGATCGCTGACGACCTGGAGGCCGAGAAGGAGCCGCTCCGGGAGCACATGGAGGAGAAGGTCTCGTCGATGCCAGTTGAGATGAAGAGGGGGGAGTTGAAGAAGAAGAGCTTCAAGTGCGCCCCTGGCTGCAAGACCGCCGACGAGGTCGAGATGATGGGATCGCTCATGGATGGCATGGTCCTGGAAAACACTCGGCTCAACAAAGGGGAGACCAAGGACGACTCCGAGAAGCTCATGGTGGTGAACGGCCCCACGGCGACGGCCCAGCAGGTCGCGGAAGGCGGCAAGAAAGAATACAACAACGAGGACGGCGACGCAGTGAAGGATGGCGTCATGACGAAGATCGGCGATGGCGACGGGCACGAGGAGAGCAGTGAGATAAGCCTATCAGATGATGTCGTCGGATCCGAGATGTCCACGGACACGTTTATGATGCCCCTGGCGTCTGGCCTCTCGGACGAGGAGTTCCAGGCTAAGATCCCCAAGTGGAAGGATCAGCTCAAGACGAGCAAGATGCATGAGCTGGTCAAGACTTCCCGTTCGCTCGAGGAGCTCGGGGTGAAGATCCAGGAGTGGGAGGACAAGCTCAGCGTGGCGGTCGGGAGCGCCACGTGACCCCTGCGGCGAGCGCGAGGGGCGCTGGCGCGGGGAGGCTGCGGGGTGCGGAGGCTCGTGTGCCTCCTGCGCCCCGCTGCCACTTGCTCGGCCGCGGAGGTTCGTGCTGCTCCTGCGGCCGAGCGTCGGCGAGGCGCGGGGGCTCTTGCTCCCCCTGCGCCCCGCCCCTGGCGCAGAGGCTCGTGCTCCTCTGTCGCCAGGGCCGCTCGGATGGGACATGGTCCCGTGTGGTTTCTCCTGGCTGATCCTTCTCCTCCTCCTCCTCCTCCTCCTCCTCCTCCTCCTCCTGCTCCTCCTCCTCCTCCTCCTCCTCCTCCTCCTCCTCCTCATCCCGCCTCCTCCTCTCCTCCTCCTCCTCCTCCTCCTCCTCCTCCGTCTGCCTCCTCTCCTCCTTCCTCCCTCCCTCTCCCCCCCCTCCTCTCCTTTTCCTCCTCCTCCTCCTCCTCCTCCTCCTCCTCTTCCTCCGCCTCCTCCTCCTCCGGCTCCTCCTTCTCGTCCTCCTCCTCCTCCTCCTCCTTCTCCTCCTCCTGTTCCTCCTCCTCTTATTTTTTGTTTCCCAGGCCGACCAGATGCAGTGCACGACTGGCGGGCGGCATCTAACGATGGAACACATGGCCAGGCCGAAGATGAGGTAGAAGGCGTGCGGGAGGTCGAACATCCAAAAAACAGACACGCACGCCCCATGCCCCTGTTTGCCACGCAGACACCCGCGCTACTTCCAAGCCAGAACACCATCGACAAGCATGAGCACACGTACTGTAGCATACCGAGCACGAAGGAGGGGTCCACGTGCGGTTCGAGCAGCAGTGCGGCGAAAAGAAGAAAGCCGCCTCAGCGAGACGAAAGCGCCTGCCCCGCCGAGGGGAGCCGGTCCAGCAGGCTGCGGGCCCGCACGAACAGACCTGTCTCGAATACCCTGCCGCGTGCCTCCCAGCTGTGCAGCTGACCCTCCACCTCCATGATGTGGCGCATCGTGCGGGCGGCCTCCTCCATACGCCAGCGCGACTCGCCGCGGCCGGGCCGTGCACGCCCTGCCCGTCGATCGCACCTCACCTTGAGTCGAGCTCGGGCGAGGCGAAGGCGAGGGCCACTGGACCCGAGGAGCTTCGCCCTGCGGCCCCGGCGGGCCAGCTGCAGCCATGCGCCCCGCAGGGCCCCAGGACCCCCCAGTCCGATCGCAACGGGGCAGCCGATGCCCTCCTGCCCCTTCTGGGCAGCCGCCGCCCCCGCAGCAGGAGCCGCCTCAGCGCTGCTGTCGGCGACTGCGTCGGAGCCGTCCTGGAAGGTCACGCCCTCGCCGTTGGCGGATGCGAGCGCCATCTCGCCCAGGAGGCCACTGAGGTACGCGAACTCTTCGGAGTCGCACGTGGACACCTCCCCCGAGCCGCTCACCGAATCGCCATCGACATCGTCGGACACGTCCCCAGCGTCCAAGGCCGCGGGCGTCACGCCGAGGGCCCACAGCAGCACGTCAGCCTGCTGCAGCACCTCCGCGGGGTTGGGTGGCGGTACGGTGAGCACATGCGGCAGCCCACTGAGCTCTGCCATGGTCCAGGCTCCGGGGGCCGCCGCGGTCAGAACTCTGCGGATCTCTGCGGCATCCACGCGAAGGCTGGAGGGGACGAAGACCCTCGCCTCGGAATTCAGCTGGGAGCGCTGGGGTTCAGCATGCTCGCGTCGAACTTCTGGACGGTCGGCTTTTTGGAGCCTCCGCAAGGCAACAGAGGAAGCGGTGGACACCTGGCAGCCCTTCGCATCCGAGTGGAGTGCGACGCTCCTGCGCAACACTGCTTCGTGGTCAGGTAGATGACCATGGAGGAGGGCACGAAGGGCGGGGGCGAGAGCCAGGATGCGGTCAGCAAGCTCTTCATCCCCGAACACCTCCTCCACGCAGCCGCGAACAGACTGCAATTCAGCCTGCAATTCGTGCACTTGACCGGATAGGCGACGGATGTCGCCATCTGCGATAACCTGGCCTGCACTCGGGCAAGCTTCCGGTCCTGGGCCGAGCGACGACGAGGGCGCGCATCCGCGCCCTCCCGCGCCATGGCAGCACCAGCAGCAGCCCCATGCACTATCGCGAAGCTCGCTTGAACAATAGGGCTGTCGCTCGCTGGTGAGCGGCATGAGCCAAAATGGTTACGACCTTCCTCCTCCTCCTCCTTCCCATCCTCCTCCTCCTCCTCCTCCTCCTCCTCCTCATCCTCATCCTCATCCTCATCCTCATCCTCATCCTCCTCCTCATCATCATCAGCATCAGCAGCAGCATCATCATCAGCATCAGCATCAGCATCAGCATCAGCATCATCATCATCATCAGCATCATCATCATCATCATCATCATCATCAGCAGCATCAGCATCATCATCACCATGTCCATCACCATGTCCATCACCATCACCATCACCATCACCATCAACATCGTCATCATCATCATCATCATCATCATCATCATCATCATCATCATCATCATCATCATCAGCATCATCATCATCATCATCATCATCATCCTCATGCTCATGCTCATCATCACCATCAGCATCAGCATCAGCATCAACATCAGCATCAGTCTCAGCATCAGCATCATCATCATCATCATCATCATCATCATCGTCATCATCATGATCACCATCACCATCATCATCATCATCATCATCATCATCATCATCATCATCATCATCATCATCAAATATCATCATCATCAATCATCATCATCCCTGGCGCATCTCTCCTCATCCTCCTCCTCCGACACCTCCTCCTATTCTATCTCCTCCCCATCCCTTCCATCCTACTCATCCTCTCCCCCCTCTCCTCCCCTCCTCCTCCCCCTATCCTCCCCCCTCCTCCTCCTCCTCCTCCTCCTCTCCTCCTCCTCCTCCTCCTCCTTCTCCTCCTTCTCCTCCTCCTCCGCGTCTTCGTCCTCCTCCTCCTCCTCCTCCTCCTCCTCGTCTGCGTTGGAGGCTCAGGCAATTGGAGTCCCGACGGAGGG